TGAACGAAAGATACATACTTCACGCTTGCATATTTCCGTCCTAATTCTCAGTGATGGCACGAGTAATTTGAAATGCATGGGGTTGAGAATTTTGCCCTAATTGACACAAATCATTGGCTTACTTTTCACAAATGTGCACTTATGATGCAGTTTAATATTTCGGATTATTGTAATGAAGTTTGAGAAATAAGCAGTCGGTGAAACTTTGCTGCCTATTTCCCTTAATGCTTTCACCCATCGGGGTGAAAGCTGCCAGCTGCGTGCTGCGGTAGTAAGCTCGAAGACGCGGGTTCGACTCCCGGCCCCAGTGGCCACTTTTATATGGTGGCGAAATGCTAAGAACACCGGTGTGCCTATGCATGGTTGCATGCCAAAGGACCCCAAATAGCCGGAATTAATCTGTGGTGCCACACTACGACGTGTCTCGAAATCATGCGTACAATGATATTGAGCTGTAAAAACACATTTCATACCTTTACGCATGCAGTGGTATTAGTCTCGTAATAGACATCCGACTCTAGAGTTTCGAGGACACGCAGCGCCACCTTGTCGACGCAGTTTTGAGTAGTGCGAAGCCCGACTCCCTCGCACAGTTTGCTGCGTAACCATGGTGCAATTACAGTGTGAAAAACGATGACTGCGCTAAATATTAGATGTATTTGCGCATGGAACACTCGAAAAATAACTACGAATTCCTCTCCGCTAGTCGGACGTGTCACCGAGCCGTCGTGAAGTGTTTTGCTGGTCCACTCGTCTGAACGACGGCGAAAACAAGAGCAGACGCAAAAGCTCCGCGCTATACGCAAAAAGACCCCAGTCTGCGCTACTGTTGCGTTGTGAATTGCTACGGACGTAAACAACTTCAGTTCTACTGATTTCCACAGCTTTCGCAAAGCAGAATGGAGAGAACACTAAATACAGGTCATTGCGAACGTCTGGGGTATAAGCGTATTACTCGCGTTCTCCACAGTCGTTCGCTTGAGTAAGTGTGATAATGTAGGTCTCTTGTTATTATTTTGTGTAGCCTTGGCGGGGAACCAAGGTAACTATAATTATGACGCTTAACAGACTCTCTGACCACGGTGCGCGAAGTGCAACAGTAGACAGATGACGCCCGCTATAAACATTGCACACGCCGCGACCATTGTTAATCTGAAGTTGATACCACAGCATTACGCACGTAGGGCTTTGAAGGCTCCATAGGTCGCAGCTTTAACTAGGAAATGCGAACAAGTGCGCCATAGAGGTCAATCGCAAAATAATCGCGACCATGATCAAGTTTTTTTTTGTTGGTCTCCGTGGTTACCAGAGCTATCTCGGAGGCATCGGTTTTGCCTTTTGTTGTACACTCAGAAAGTGGACAAGCATGTATCCTCATTTGATGACAACCGTCAACAGAGCATTCGAGCATGTGTAATAGTTCAATGCACAGGAACTAAGCGAGAAATCGATGGAGAATGCAACTGGAAAGCGAAAATCACCAGGGTGATTGATGCCGGATAAAGTGAGCTTCGTACCACTGCTCGCATAGATTGCTCGTGCATGCACTTTGTCGCTTTGACATCATGCGTATGCCCGAGTTTGACGTATTTAGGCGTTGTACTCTCAATCAGGTCCCACTTGAAGTGCTAGATATAGTCAGGAAACAAGACATTTTTCATCTATTGTTTCCTAGATATAGCCAGCATTTAACCAGCACATGATTTAGAGCTAGTATACAGAACGCACGTCGGAGTGCTTGTCTCTAACTCGATGTCATGCGATGCTCGCTTGCACCTAAATTGCCAGTTGCAGAACGCCGAAATAAGTGAAACACCGTTTGCGTTGTGCCCGCATTTTGCTTTGATGAGCTTCCTACTTTTAGGAAGCGAGGGTGGATTGAAGGAAGAAGCTTGTCAGGTTCTTGATTTTCAGGAAACCGCGCCAAAAGACCAACAAAAGAGGAGGACCTATGCACGTTCGCTTGCGGAGAGCTCTCTGTGCACTATACCCATTTATGGCCAGCGCGGCAATGGGGGCACTGGCGGCGGCATCTTTCGCAGAGCCGTCTGGGCAGAGTCTGACGTCTATAGAGACATTTAGAATACCGTTCGCAACACTTGTGGGCGTAGTGGTAGCGTTCCTGAATGGGAGCCCGCAAGAGGTAAGCGCACGACGCATGCGCAACGCAAACGCTTTGCTTCGCGTTGCGCTGTTCTGAAAGTGTCTAATATCTGGTCCGCCGCTCTGCCATTGGTTTGCTGGGAAGACGGCACACTGCCCCATTCTAGTACACTATACGCAGGGACTCTTCTTTGGGAGTATGTACTTCGCACGTCGCATGACTGTGTCTGATCCGACGGCGGAAGCGCGGCCGGCGCGGCGGGAATCGGTTGCGCGAGGAGCCTTCGTCGCAGGGCGTGGCTTAGTGATATCACTTTCATGGCTGTGGCTACGACGGGTCCTACGTCCTTATCTGTACGAGTGGTGGAAACCTGGGTTTTCGTGAGATGCCAACATTTTTGCGTCGACTTGAAACGTTTCCTATTGAAAAAGGGCAATCGTTATTTCTCTTCGTTGAATTTGCACATTGTTACAGAACAGTGCGACATACAGAGACGTGCAGATGACGTGTATGCCAAAGCCTGAAACGGGAAATACAATGCCCACGCTATCGAATTCGAATGCAAGTATCGCACCAGGAGCATGGTCAGGCACATTACACGCGGAATACACACCTGTGAAAGCCTGTGTGACGCCCGAGTGCAATTAAACTGGGATATAAACTATAATTAAGAAACTTTGTAATCCGCGCCACTGTTCCTCACCAAGTTCGCATATTTCCAAAGTGCTTCGATGCTCTTCCTCTCCCGGAGGAACATGGAGGCACCCTACGTATTCTATATACTCGCCCAGCGTCGCTACGAGGCAGCGGCGAGCGGTGGCAGAGGTCGCGCTGAACTGACTCGAGAATAAATTCCCTGAAAAAAACTTTACTCGAGAAGATCGTTCAATTAGTGACTGAAAAAATAGAGCAGACGCTGACCCGTTATAGATTTGCATTACTTAAAACGAACTCGTCTTGGTTATAGACAGTTTGTCATTCACTAATTGGCATGTCTGTGGATCTTCATCTATTACAGGTGGTTCATTGTGCAACGTGCCTAATTCAGTTTTACATCTTGTTTTGTCAATGTTATGAAGTCAGTGCTACCAGGTTTATGTAAATTTGTCGCTCTTGGGATTAAAGAGGACTTGGCATAAGCTGAAGCTTCAACTTTCAAGCTGGCTATCTGGGAATTCATAGGACACTTAAGCAATACTTCTTACGTCTAAATACAAATAAAAAAATCGACTGATGAGTGAATATGTTCGTCTTTTCATCTAGTTGAACTGACAAGATAGTAACCAGCGATATTTGTTTACGTCACCACCTAATTACGGATTCATCATTTGTGATTGCTCGGGGGAATTGAAAGGTAGCTCGCTTTTAAATAATGTGGACTTTTTCAGAGTTAATTCAAACTTCCATGCATTCTTTATTTTTTTAAGGAAAAGAAAATGTTTATCCAGCATATTTGCGCTGTGTATCAATAAGAAGTAGAATATAAAAAGGAAAAATACCGTAGGTACAATAGGTTACATTGGTGACAAAGAGCGAAAACCTATCATTTCCTCTTTCCTTCTATCTCATTTAGCTTAAAAGAGAGAAAGTAAACACACTAAGTTATACACATAAGACATGCATTTTCGCTTTTCTGCGCTTGTGCTATAGAAGAAAAGCGAGAAATATTCGTGATTTTGTATTTCGTAAGATCACGACTGAAAGACGTCTCTGATGATTATTGTAAAAACTCCACTCATGGGCCTATGGGTTCACGAAACTGTTTGCACGCGGGAACAGTCCGTTTTTCAAAGGGACTACTTCGGAAATTCGGCGTACGTACGTCTGTGCTATAAATTGCTTGTGACAGCTTGAACAAGTTCTATCAAGGTTAAAACCGCAGATTCTGTGGAGGAAATCCAAGACAGGCTATACCTAATGGCTATGTGGGTTTCAGGACAAAAGGCGCTTTTCTTGAAACAATTTTCGTGTTGAGCGATAAATGGCAGTTTTATTCACACACACACGAATCTCTAACGAAGGTACGTTTTTTTAAAGTGAAAACAGTGTGGCCGATTGGTCCCGTCCATAGAGCTGGTGAAGACACCTACAGAGCTAGTTTCACTTCTTCGTTAAATAGGCATATCATTTTATGTGCGGGGCTCTTTTAGGGACCGTGCTATCAGACGCCGTCATGTGCTACATGTATGCGGTAGTATGCTGCTGTTGTCGCTTGGCGTCCCGCTACATGTGTAGCATATTTAGTGCACCAAAGAGAAGTATTGTTCTTGTTGCTCTTCGAGGGCCTCGGTGATGGTCACTTATCATCATCAGCAGAAAAAGAAAACTAGTGCATTTGGTGTAACGTAGGCAAAACTACGTATAAAATAAAAAAGAAAGCGAGCACGAAATAGAGAAATAAAGGTAAAAAAGAAGCAAAATAGGAAGAGCAAGAAAGAAAAATAAATAGGTAAATAATAGGAAGAAATAATAAAAATGGAGAGAGAAAGGTAAGGAGGGAAAATGTAAAAAGAAAAAAAGAAGGAAAGTAATCAGGAGAGAATAAGAAAACTGAAGAGAAAAAAGAAACAAGGCTGCCTAGCTTCACGTTTCTCTGGTGTGGAGCTGCCTTAATTTCCTCTATATTTCTTTCTCTCTCTCTCTCTTTCTTTCTTTCCTTCTTTGTTTTGTAAAAAAAAAGAGGAAGTGGACAGCACTGGCTAGACGTACTACACCTATGTAGCCCAATATAGGAGAACTTAGACTAGTATGTCTGTACCTACTGTATTTCAGCAGAAAAGTACAAGAAAATTGAGTTAAAGTAACTGACAACACAACTGCTGAAATTGAACTAGTCGTGCTACCAGGAAGGATGGTACGTGTATTTTTTTTTTCGGTTCATGTCAACTCGTTTATTACCGCCGCCGTCGACTTTCGGATGCCTCAGACAGTTTTTGATAGACTACTTTGAGAAGTGGATGCGTTGTGCCGCAGACGCCTTGGAAATCGTCCATGTCATTGTTGAACACCATAACTCCAGCGTAGCCTTCCTTGATGACGAAATCAACCTGCGAAATGGCCAAAAAGGATTGTTCATTTATCACATACGGAACTGAGACTGTGATGAGTTCTGAAAAAAGGATCATGAGGATTAAATTCGCATGAAATGGCACTGAAAATGGCAATCACTTGTACGGAGACAGTCGTATGCGTGTTCCAATGAAATATTTCAATTCTTACTGCAACGAGTCCGCTAACTGAATATGATAGCAGCTGCACAACAGCTGACATTGGACCACAAGGATTATGCCAAACTACGTGTTAAAAACCTAAACTAGTACACTTCGAATATGAATGATGCGTGTAGATTGAATCTGATTCATTTGTTTGGCTAGATCAGCCATGATCCCTACTGTTATGAACAGTGAATGTGAAACAGATGAAGGCTTGGAGACACCAAGCAGGGGGCCGAACCTTTATGCCAACGCTTTCTTCGTCCTCATAGCCCACCCACTGGTCTTCGTAGTACATGTATGGACACATTGACTCGTTGTCAAATTTTCGTGTCGCGATACCATCTTCAATGTTGGTGCATATCTGTAGAGGAGAAAAAATTCAAGTGTATTGCCTACGGAAATAGCGGTTGAAACCACACATACAGCATGCATTCAAGCGTCAGCTGGTCTTGGAAATGTTGTAAATGTTATTTGAACCTATTTATTGAATTAGTATTTATTATCCCAAACTCTTGTCATTGTTATGCTGCAATAAGTCTATTACTTTATTGCCAATGTAAAAGAAAATTACAGTTTTAGCATATGGGATACAATCTCCGCATAGCCTCCTCAGTCAAAAGGTAAAGAGTGACATTGATATTCTTTGTTGAATGGCCACAAGAATGTGCACTATTTTGAATTTACTTTAGAGGCACTTCCGTGCATTAGCTGATGCATCACCTTTTCGCCCACAGCTTGATGGTAATGCCAATATTAAGCCAGAAAGGTACACCATTCCCGATTTCGGATCATTCTCACTAATCACGAAGAAGGCATGACTTTGTGCACAGTGATTGTTGTACAAACGTATTCTAGTTACGGAAAAAAAGAAACAGCATAAAATTGGAAGCATAGAAGCGAGTTTCTTTCTACAGTATTTTTTGAGCAAGTTATGTATAAGGTTGTTTCAAGGGAAGGTGCAATAAGCTAAGTCGGCCACTCTCGATTCTGGTTTAACTTGGTATCCGCTAAGGCTGGGTAAGTAAACCTGAAACGAATTTCTCTGTGCAGGTGCGATGCGTCAAGAATTCATGACTCCCTTGTACATTGCAAGAAAAGGAATCAAGGCAAGATCCTGATGCTCATATTTATTTTTCGTTTTATGTGTGGTACGTGTAGTGACCCTTGTGTGACTCTGGCCTCGTGGTGGCGTCTGAAGCGACTTGTACCTACTTGTACAAACTTGTACTATAAGAGTTATATACAGTAATTCTAGGTGTTCCTAGAGTTACTGCATATGGCTCCCATCTATACACAGGTGTGGCTGGCGTTTTTTTTTTGTTCCTCGTTCCACATTGCGAATGGGTACAGACAAAGGCTAGTTTTAGGGGAGAAGCTCTTTAAGTCGTGGGTCGGTCGTCACCTGCATGTATGCATGCATGTAGTCACCACCTCACAGCATATCGACGAAGTGAACGACGATGAGTGAGGCGAAGCTGCGGAGGGTTTTATCGACAAACCGTCAATAATTCGCTGGCAACGTCTGTTTGTCGTCTGTCCATCTGTCTGACGCATGGACGGATGCACGACGGACGCACGACGGACGCACGGACGGACGGATGGACGCACAGAAGAGTGCACGATGGATGCACGGATGCAGAGACACACGGACGAACACACAGGCGAACGCAGAGACGAACGCGCGGATGGACGCACGGGCAGACGGATAGACGGACGGGTGGACGAACGAACGCATGGACGGACGAATGAACGGAAGGAAGCACGAACAAACGGACGGATGGAAGCGCGGACGAACTGACGGACGCTTCGCTCCACCCATCATCATTCACTCCGTGGATATGCTGTGATTGTTTCGAGTGTCTCAAAGACCGTGTTCATATGAATAGAAAATGCAGGAGCGTTGCGTTATAGAGGACACGCTCAAGCACATCCAATATCTGCCTACTGCCAGCAGTAAATGGTGTTAATGAACAGCTGGCCGTTAAAAAAACGCGCATGATTGGGTTGTCTAGCGCGACGAGCTGCGTAGCGAGGGTCTCTGGTTCGAATTCTCGGTTGGGTGCATTATAACTTTTTTTTGTACCATGTTTCCCTATATGCATACATATCTGAAACCTGGCGGGGACAGAAAAAATCTACGAATGGTGTGCGTATAATTTCTATCGCAATAATAGGAAAATTGCCCATCACATTTCGTACTGTAATTACTCTGTGCATTCACCCTCCCAAGTTCTTCAATGAGCCCTGCATATTATTCGTTTTCATGCCCACATCTGCATAAGTTTTGCAGAGATGTGAGTGTGCTTGTGGTAAAGAATTCATGAATATTGCCCGTAGAGTTGTTATTTATGAGCACACACAACAATTGATTTGATTTAATCTAAGTGTCGCATGACATACTTAGTTGACTGCCTTATATCGCTCAAGAGGGTATTTTGCCAGCCGCATAGTTCCTTGAACTTCATGCTCATGCGGGGCCATATAGATCGTCGCAATTACCTCATAGTAAGCCAAGATTTCCGTGCTACCGATGAAAGGTCCTGGAGCAGCCGGGATGTCTTTAATGGGATCGCCAATATTGTGCTTCTCTTTGTCCGCCAAAACGTAGCTGCGGCCGAAGAACGGTATGCCTAGGACGAGCTTCTTCTTGGGGGCTCCAAGTTCCACAAGACGCTTCAGCCCTTGAGCCTACGGGCCAGTACAAAACAAAATAAAACATAAAGGCACAGTTAAAGATACGGTGCTTTGCTAAGACACGGGTTTTCATATTCGTTTTTTAATGTCTTTGCATTATCTTCGTTGTATCAGTGAAATGCAGAGTGATACCTAGTCGGGCAAATCCTTGGTTGTTGACCCTCCATTTTCTTTTCCATCCGGCAGACCCTCCATCCGGCAGACCCTTTTATTTCTGCACTCTGATAGATACACGAAGACCTTAGGGACTAAATGAGGTTTCTATAGAAAACTCAGTTAGCCCCTCAGGTCTTCAGCACTGCCTACGAGCCCCATTGTGGTTCAGCACAGTCAACGATTGCCATTTACAGTATAGGTGACAGCTACAGTTTCGAATCTGATATGCAAAAGATTGTTACTACATATGCCATACCTGCGAAGTTTGATTTCAGAGCTGCTTTTGTTTTGCGAATTGCCTTTTTTTTACAGCCGAGTTTTAAAGGATAAAAATGGCCGTGTGTAGTATATAAAATAATCATCGTAGACCATATCGCGCCATCTTGGTCCCTGCTTTCGTTGTCGTGATCTCTTTCTGCTTCTGTTTCGCTTCCATAAGACGTGTGCTGATTTGTTCGGCGAGGGTTGCAATAACTTAGCGGGATAGAGAACGAGCATAAAAAGAGATAGAGAAAGAAAGAAATAAAAAGGAAGAAGAAAAAAGTCACAGCTTTGCCGCAAAGGTGAAGCAATGAATGCAGTAGCAACAATTGCAACTAAATTGTTAAGTCACTATTCGGTGTGTCCGGAGTATTTGTTTTCGCACTTTTCTACATTCTTCCAAGCTAAAGCGTCAACTAGCCAAAGTTTGTGCTTCTGCGAAGGACTGCAGTCCACAGCACGCCAACAGAAAACAAACTACGTACCACATTCAGATTCCGGGGTTCACCTGTTTCGAAAGACCTGGCATACAGAGGGCTGTGAACGTCAGCAATTCCAGTCCAGCGTCCTCTCAGGTCAAAACCGATCACGTTGAACCAGTCCAAGTACCTACAAAAAAAGATGTGAGAACGTTGACATTCTCTGTAGTCTAACGCGGGTTCAAGACTCGCACTATTTTTTTGCTTACTTTGCAAGCTGTCTGACGTCGTAACCAGCGTCGAGATAATAAGGAGTGATTGGAATCGTAGCGGTAACGATGAGACCTTTCTTTCGTAGTTTGCACAGAGCCTGATAGAAAGAAGGAAAGGCGGTTGGTGGTCAGATTTTGAGGTCCCAGAAGGACTGAATGTAATTTGAAGAAAAGAAGGAAGTCTATGTAAGTGAACAATGCCATACATGTTCATCAGTGCTAAAAGGAAGGCTATAAAACAATACCCTAAATGAGTCTAAACAGTCGTAAAATGTTCGTCTGAAAAAAAAAAGAAAACGTCCTCTATCGTCTGGTGCAAAATAATGTCGGTTGTGTTGGAAAGAAAACGAAAACAGAAAGCTCCTCTTTTAAAAATTTGGTCCTTAACTCGGCTGAAACATATCAGCTCAAATCAGCCTACTTCAATGCACTACTTTTATATTTAGGCTGTTTTGAAACAAAAGAAGTTGGCAAACTGGATGGTTTCATTCGTTTCTTACTTTTCTTAGTTTGGGCAGCGCACCTATTTAGCGTGAGCGATAACTATGTACCATACGAGTTCATAACAGTTGCTTTTTTACACGAACATTCTAGAATTTACAAGTGTTTCGGGTAGGGTGGGGCAAAATGCGAAAAAAAATGTGAAAATTCAATATTATTTTTAATTTCACTTTTTGTCTTTAAATGTCATTGCAGAAGTTTTCCTTTGGGTACAAGCTATGGGCTGCATCAATATGGCCATATTACTACAGTTCAAAGGAGTGTGAAAAAAAATAAAAAAAAAAAGTCTCATTTTGCCCCAAACTGTTGGGCAAAAACGAGACAGCGTGAAAAAATTTCATTCCTCCAGATTTTGCAGTAGAACCACCTAAAGTTCACTCCGTGCCCCCCCCCCCCCCCCATGCACTCTTCATGAGCCCACTCCTTGCCCTCCATGAAATGAATCCAGACACAATCCGGCGCTGTGTTGCTCCAAAACTCCGAGCAGATCGAACACCCTTAGTCCTTCTTTGTGCTAATGCGGTCTTTTGTTGAACGCTTGCACTTAATTAGATTATTCAATGATTGGAGGCTACATATGCATGTTCTGACGTATCTCCGTAGCCTCTTTTTACCGTTTTGATGCAGAATCCAACAGGCATTCCATGGCTTTCAACTTAGTCAGTCGGGTTTTGTGAGCAGATAAATTTCAGATTTTGTATCGCTTGTTTTCACAATTTCGGTAAAAAAATCTGATTCAAACTCTATTCCAAGATGTGTTTTTGAACGGCTTGACTTAAATACTTCTTCAATTTTTTTCATGTGTCTCTTAGAGCATCCTTGAGAACGGCGAACAGCCTCGATGTAGCGTGAAGGGAATGAGTCCTGTCCTCAACAGCGCTCAGGGTTTTGGATGTCACTTTCCATCCATGAAGCTTTAAATAATATTTCCTTGCACAACGTAACGCTGCTAAACAAAAAATTATAATAAGTAATCAGTATGAGTAAATGGTTCACGCAATGAGACGCTCTCTAAGGCGTTTCATTGCCGTTTTGTCGCGTTTCACTCTTCCAACATGCCCGAACTACAAAAAAAAAAAAAGTACGTTTTGGCACCGTGCACCAAATGAAACGAACTTTTGGTAGTATGTAGCTACTAGTAAAAAGTAACGAAATAAATACGAAATTTGTAATGACGTCGAAGTAGCCTCTTAATGCACGGATCCAAAATTTGGCCTAGTAGAATTTCGCTTCTTTTTGACGGGTCATGAACACAGCGGCACGAGTCGTCTAGATTTTTCTATGCTAACGCTGAAAGCAATGACAAACTTTTATACATGACAGGTAGGCAACTACCAGCACTAGAAATAGAGAAAAAAAGAAAAGTATTTCCTGTATCAGCTACAGAAGCCGGCAAAGCCAAAATGTTGTGTTTTGCCCCATGTCTATTTTTACCCCACCCTACTAAAATTATGTAGCGTGCACTTACGGAAAGACATTCTGAATATTATTTGTACACGCAAAAGTTCCAAATAAAAAGAAACGCTGTTCGCCGATAAGTGCGATAGTAAAGAAAAAAAGTTAGCCCATTAGCTTACACTAAGAGGCGCAAGGCACGGTCACAGCTTTGCTGGTGGAAGGAAGGAATGCAAGAGGAAGAAAGCAGGGAGGTTAACCAGACAGTAATCTGGTTAACACGTCTCAGAATTCTTGGGAGATCATCGAGCAAGTGCCGGTTAATAATTATGATTATTTTCTACAAACGATACACGAACAAGTTTGATAATGACAGCTCTGATGCTTCATTGGGAACACCGAAACTGGCGACAGACCAATTGGTCGAATGCTACGGCCACGAAAGTTTTCTTCATGTTCAATCGGCTCCCAATTGCCCTAAAGCAGTAGACAAAGAAAACATACCTTCAGAAACAAGACGTAGTTTTGTTTGTCCTCCGGCTTTCCATTTTTGTCGGCACTCGCAGGAAACCTCCAGTCGATGTCGACCCCATCGAAGTCGTTGTCTTTAAGAAACTTGTACAAGTTTCTTGTAAAGTTGCACCGCCTGTTCCGGTCTGCTGCAACGTACGAAAACGACTCCCCACCATGTTCCCAGCCTCCGAGAGAGATCAGCGTTTTGACGAATAGAAACTTCTTCTTGATGGCTGTGAAGTCTTTGTAATCTGCAGGTAACAAAAGTTACGAAGCATGTAATAGGTTTCAACATCAGTAACAAGGAAGCAGAAAGTCTGACTTGTTGAACACCTGTTCGGCAATCACTTCGCTATTTTCCTTTAACGCCCACGAAAAAAAAAATATATTGACGCGATGTATGCCAAGCTTGGCAAAGATCCACCTCGTAATTACCCTTATAGTACCAGTGGGGTTTGCGTCGTTTGAATGAATTGCCTTCGATAGTGCAATTTTTGCTCGTAAATAGAAGCATTTAGATACAGCAGGTGCCTGCTTGTAAACACTTCCGGTTATGTCTTGGTAACAATGAATGTATTTGTTTTCACACGCCTATTATGTTGTGAACGTATTGCACGCAACAGTGAGAATATTAATGTCAACGAATAAGTTAGTTTTTACGTTATTCTGTACTTTAAGTGTACTGTATGTTATTCCATATTGTAATTCGAATAGCTTTTTCTGACACTTCGAAACAACTGGCAAATTTTAAGTTGGGCTTACCACTTTTGGATTTAATTATTGAATAAATAGTACAGCAACTGCCAACGTTTAATACGTTTTTATATAGGATAATTGTGAAATCGTGAAATAAAATACACACGGGGCTCGTAGAACTACACTGACAATTTGTTGAAAAGGACGCATGCTTACGTGAATTGTTCGTGTAGGCTGGTATGAGGTCCTTCACTCCTAACGTGTCCTTGTCCACACCGGCGTAGTTGAGGTTCACGTGCGTGCACAGATCGCCCGGGATGTCCCGTATCCGGTAGTTCATCGGGCTGAAACGGTCTGCTGCCACACCGGTGTAGTAGCACACTACGGGGCTGCCGCCGTTCCTGATAAAGTCGTCATCTGCAACGGCATGCGGTGATTTTTGACGCGATTGATGTGCACAAGCCTACGTCGTTTTGAGATCGCATGACAGAAATTTCTAGACATTTTTTTTAGAAAGCGATATCCGACATATAACAACTAAAACATACCAACCTGCTGCTTCATCATATTCAAACGTAGCACTAATCAAGGATTATTGAGTGGTTGTTTGTGAGAGATTGAGGAAAGCCAAGATGAAATACAATAAAGTTAACCAGACTGGGTGTGGTAGGTTAACTTGTATCGGCAAATGAAAAAGGGAATGAAAAAAAAAGATGAGCGGTCCCTAAAGCTTCGCTTTCAAGAGTTGAATGCAATAGCAACATCTTGTTTATAGTGCGTACTTCAAACACTTAGTGCATGAAACTTTTTCGAATATGTTATGCACCCACTACGTGGCCTTAAGTGTGCCTTTTGTAGCAGTAGCGTGTGTGCCTTTTGTAGCAGGGTACCGGCTTTCAATCACGGATCAAATATGGTAATCGCATATTCAACGCCCGTTGGCAATGGACGCTTGTACTACGCGTCATTACTGCAACCTTTCATGTTGCATTGTGAAGCATGTATAAAGAATGCGTGTGTTTGTGAAGCACGAAAGCTACTTTCACTGCATTTCTGAGCAGAGGGAAGTTCTTTTAACTGTTTCCATAAGCAGATGCAAGAGTGTTAGAACATCCACTTGCCATGCAAAAGACCCGGGTTAGATCCCCACTTGTTCCCAAACAACTCTGGTTCGGTCCCCACTCTATACTTCAGGTTTTTTTTATCATTTACTTATTTTAATTGCATCGTTTTCAATTTTTCAGTGACGCATAAGATGATAGTTTTTCGCTCACAACCAACGACGCCGACACCAACGCCGACGCCAGAATGTTTGCGATACGAGCTATTTAACCCTATCGAGTAATATAAGGTCACTATTGACACAGGCACATGCACATAAAAGATGTATTGATTGTCCAGTTTATCGAAATAGTTTCACATATATTTCAGTAAATCCCCATGTTATATCACGCCGCAACAGTCAGAAACAGGTCAAAAAAGTCTTGGTGCACAAGTGGCGTTTCTTCTTTCAGCCTACCAACATATTCGCATTGTCGCCGAAGGTGCAGTTTTATCGAATGGGTCAACTTGCCAGGATCACACTAATCATTTCTAGTCTTGTAGTTTCAGGATAATGGCGACGTGTCTTTAACTGTACCCATGAGCACGAAGCAACTTTATTAATTTTACTTCACAGAATTGTGATTGAACTAAAATATGTATAGTAATTGAGGGCAATAGAGATACGCATGGGTACATATACCCTTGCATGGCAGGCCTAGAATCTAAACACTTGGGATCAGTTTGTGTTGACATTTACTGAAACAGTCGTTTGTATCGTCATTATCCATTTCTCTTTGTATATACCATTGAATTCCAGACACAACACCTTAGGCTGTACCTCGAATATTTCTCACGGCAATGTGTCAGTATATCCATAGTCTGGCGTATTCTTTTCAACACGAAAATACTTAGTGCCGAAGTCCACCACGGCTTTGCTGCCGTACTTCCGTCACGGAAGTGACGTTGAAAAAATATATATTAAGAAATGGCAGAGAAAAAAATTTACCCCATATCTGCATGTTTCACTGCGAATGTCGTCGAAAGATGATGGTCTTGCGGGTGGAGAGAGTGAAAAAATGTTTATTTGATGTTCTGCACGAGATAATCAGTAAATTGTATTCTGGAAGCGCGTCATTAGAGAGTCTCTATCTGTGCAGCGAAGGCAAACAAGCACATGGAGACACGTTAGACACGAGTGGTATCTGGCTGCAGTTATTCTCGAAAACGAAGCAAGGTGTGCGCACCCACGAAGAAAGATGCGCGTTTGTCTCGGGGGGGGGGGGGGGGGTAAGGTGTCTAACGCAAAGCGACGGGCAGGTGCCACCACCATGCCGTCTTAGCAAAACGTTGGAAACACTTGTATTTTTAAGCATTGCGTTGCGCTCTCAGCGCAGCCTGATAAACGCTACGGTCCTTAGAATTACTTATGTGTGCTTTCTCTAGTATAAAGTCACACATACAAAATATTGACGTGTTGTTTGCGTGCCTCAGATAAGCGCAATAATTGCTTCATAATTGACAATCGCACAAGTATGAACGCTGAAGCTTGAGCAATATTGGTGGGCGCTGCGGATGGGGCTGGCCGTTTCGGGTACCGCATAATGCCATTTGTAGTTTCGTTATGGTGGATAAACAGACAAACGCACAGACAGACAGGAACACAGACCAAAATTTTTGCGTCGAAGTGTCCCATGAAAAACTGTCGTCCTTAAAAACTAGTAAGCAAGCATTAATCACGCCGAATCAAACCAACCACCGTTCGATTCCCAGCTGGCAGCGCGAACCACTACGCCACAGAGCGTGCGTTGTAAGGATTACTAACGGCAAGCCGTTATACTGGGTTTCCCAGGTAAATTTAGCCAGAGTTTTAAGATATGCTGGCACACGTGATTACGAAGTGACCAAATGCAGGTTGCGCACCGTTGCCCGGAGTTAGTCATATCATTTTTTATGTTCTCAAATATTGTTTAATTAGATCTTTTTACTTAACTAACTTTTCAACTAACGAAGATAGATAAAAAAATTTGATTGAGAAAGTTGTAGATCGGTTTGCACAACTTCCGATTAGACAGTTTTGAACTTTATATCTGTTGGTTATTATTATTTTTCTGCTAATTACAAATGCCTGCGAAATAAAAAAAATACCACGTGACAAATCTTCTCGTGCGCCAGTGCGCACAATAATTTTAGTGCTCCCTAACGGTTCGCGTACGAACGACCATAGCATTTGCCCCAATGTGCTGTTTCGGCGGGGCCGCAACGATGGTGGTGGCTTTACGATGAACACGTTTTGCTATCGGCCACAAAAGCGATAACCGCTGTGACTGCTTATCGCTGTCATAAACCGTTGCGAGGGAAGCGTGTCGTTCGTACAGGGAACGTTAGGGAGCACTAGAATCATCGTGCGCACTGACGCGTGCGCGGGTTTGTCATTTTGGTATTTTTTGTATATTGCGAGATTTGTAATTAGCAGAAAAACATTAATATATAACAGATATAAAGTTCAAAACTGTCTAATCGGAGGTGTTGCAAACCGATCTACAACTTTTTCATTGAAATTTCCTATCGATTCTCGTTTCTTTAAAAGTTATTCATTTAAACATGTCTAATTAAGCAATATTTGAGAATACAAAAAATAATCTGACGAGCTCCAGGCAACGGTGAGCAACATGCATTTGGTCACGTCGTAATCGCGTGTGCCGGCATATTTTCAAACTCTGGCTAAAGTTACCTGGGACACCCTGTATACACCATCCACTTTTTGGCTGTCCTCAGAGCTTCGAAACTTTAGGGCGTTTTTGTTATAACTGGCGAGATGGCGCGACATGTTCGCGTCGGGCACGCTGTAAATGTTGTCGCCTCGACGAAGCGCTGCTTCCCCGGAGCATGGTCTTTTCTGCGCGCGCGCTTATCAGACTCGTAATTCGGGAGAGGACGGAGGTCACTTTTACACGCTGCCACGGCCGCGTTTACGAAAGGAGTGCGCTGCTGACACACGGCGCAGGAAGAATTGTGGCAGCTGTTCGCGCTTGTCCTGCAGTGTGTACACTTGTGCGCTCGTTTCGTGCGTTGTTGTGCCACAGACATGTTCCTTGTTCGGGAGCGCGTCTCGCAGGATCGAGCCCTGTTTCGACGAACTGTCTCCCCCCCCCCCCCTCCCAGCGCCGCCTTCCGTGCAGAAGAACCGTGCAGTCCGGGGATAACGTCGTTTCCTCCGCCGGACCACTTTGCAGTTCCGGGTATGGCTACGTCTCCCCCTCCGAGCCCGAGAACTGGTCTTAGAGAATGGACCAAACACGCTATTTAAGGCCGAGCCGGCCCCATGTTAGGAGGATTTTGCCCCAGCCGACGTTGTCGTGCTGGCTGGCTCTGTAAAACGACAACCTGCGATAGTAAACGCTACTTTTGTTGCTGTTTTCCAAACGGATTGCCTCCCTGTTTCACCTTCGGGCTAAGGCTTCATCGAAGTCCGCTCGACGGCCCGCCGCTCTTCGCCACCGCTACCATCGCGACAGAGCAAAATTCCTAACAGTGGTTGGCAGCTTCGGGATACGATATCCTACGTTTGGCACGCCGGATCAGACCCCTGTCCTCAACGTTTTGCTGCTCTGGGACCCGCTACCCCGATCTCAACGGCTGAAAAGTTGGATCGGATCTCCGAGCACGAGGACGACCGCCGTGATAGCGTTTGGCTACGCTGCGATACGCTACCCTGTTCACATCGTTCGGCAAGCTGGGACAAGCAACCCCGGATATCAACATTGGCAAGTTGGACCGGATCCCTGAAGGCCTGACACTGTTCGACGGCAGCCACGAGTTGGATCATCGTCGGCTACTTTGGTTGGGTGAGTGCCCAACGTTTACTGTTCATTTCGCCAGACCTCTCTAGCACAGGCAGATGTTAGGAGAGTGTTTTGTTTTGTTTTGTTGGTTATAATTTAATATTCACGTGCTCTAAACCATGAGATTAGCTTTAGAGTACGGTGAATATCAATAGCAGAGCATCACGAGAAACGAGATCGCGATGGAGCAGTACCTGGTGCAGGACCTCCTCGAAATTTGTCGAGCCATGGGGATTTCCACCGGGTCCGCTAAAACAAGGGAAGCGATTCTCGAGGTGATGCGGGCAGAGAATGTGACGGCTGAGGAAGCTGACGAGTTTTGGGAGCTCATTTGTGAGCAAAAGCAGAAGGCCGAGAAAAGCCGCGAAGAGCTCGAAGCTCAAAGGCGCGAACAGCAGAAGGCCGAAGAGCTCGAAGCTCAAAGGCACGAACAGCAGAAGGCCGAAGAGCTCGAAGCTCAAAGGCACGAACAGTGGAAGGCCGAAGAGTGCCGAAAAAGGAGAGAGCATGCTCTCAGTATGAAAGAGCTTG